AGATACGCAAATAGCTTCCTCCTAATATTGCTTGACCTTTCTCCTCTTTCTTCGTGAACGGTGGAGGCGATGATCGTCGCCAAATAAACATGACTCGTCCCGTTGCTCTTAGCTTTCGTCGTCTTTTACATTTACGTGCCCACAACGACTGTTCGGACAGAGATCTACATCTAAACATTCATCTACATACACCTACATATATATATATATATATATATATATATATATATATATATATATATATATATATATATATATATATATATGCATACCAACATATATCATTCACGTAAATCATCACTCTCCTTCTCTTTTATGTATCGTGTCCCTTCGGGACTCCACGATTTCTCTCCTACTGCCTATGTCATCCATTTACACGAGCTCATTAATTAGGTTACTAGCTATTTCAGACCTTGTTCAGATTAGCATACCCACTCACAGCAGGGTTTGTTATTCTTTACATGAAGATGATTAGCTTCGTTATTATTTATATGAGAATAATCGAGCTCGCTGTTCTCGACATGAACATTTTGGTACAAGAAATTGGATTTACGTTGTGGGGTAATTGATATCAGCTCGGAGTGAGAATTCGGACAGCCGTGTTCGAATCCCAGTCGAGTTCGTTATATTAACTGACGAACAAATGCCCTTGGAAAAGGTATGAGTCCATCTCTTCTTCTCCCAGCTATGGGTTAAATAGAAGAAGAGACTGGGTTCTTTAGCCTTGGTTGGCAACCAGTCTACCGAAGAAAAATGCCGGAAAAAATTTCTGACTCATTAGTTATGTATCAAGAGTTACATGATCGTGTGGTACTTACTTAACTGACTGTCTGAACTTCTTTTTATGTGTCGTGTCCCTTCGGGACGTGGGTGATTATGGTTCTCCACAATTTCTCTCCTACTCTGCCGCTGTCATCTATTAGGTTGGTGCAAAAATAATGACGTAACAATGTCGTTTTTGATGTTACGTCAAAAAAGACATTATTACGTCATTATTTTGGCACCAACCTAATATTTACACGAGCTCGTTAATTAGCTTACTAGCTATTTCGGACCTTGTTAAGATTAACGAACCCAATCACGGAAGGGTTTCGTTATTTTGCATGAAGATGATTGGCTTCGTTATTCTATACATGAGAAGAATCGAGTTCGCGGTTCTTGACATGAACATTTTGGTACAAGTAACTTTAACTGGATTTTCGTTGTGGAGTAATTAATATCGGCTGGCAATGAGAACTCGGAGAGCCGATTTCGATTCTCAGTCGAGTTCGTTATATTTACTCACACAATTACCATTGGGAAAGGTATGAATCCATCTCCTCTCCTTCCTTCCAGCTATAGGTTGAATAACAAGACAGACCGGGTTTCTATCACAGAAAGAAATGGCAACCTAGTGCGGGAAAAAAATTCTTCCTCGTCAGTCACGTATCAAAAGATCGCCCAAGCGTGTATCACGTGTGGCACTTAACTGACTGACTGAACTTTAAGGTTCAATAGCTGTTTTCATATACTGACTGCTTTGAATTTATTAATTCAGATATCCAGGAACCTTCAAGATGGATAGATCTCTGTTCACGGAGGTTCTGAAGTCATTACTTGGGGAGGATAGCTTGTCAGTGATTGACTGGATAAAGAACAAATCACCTATTCGACGGGAATTAAAATGTGGGTCATTTAATACATTTATGAACTGGACAAAGTACAATGCCTCTTTGGATCCTTATGTGTGAAAATGCCTGTTCAGGACACAAACGAAATGTAGCAATAAGAAAAAAAGTCTTTTTTTTCTAAATCAAAAGTTAAATTACAGCAGTAGATTCATATATATTGTTGGTAATATATATTGGTGTAATGAAATGAAAGAACAGGAAATTTCTCGGGTTGTACTTATATCCCCCCCCCACTCCAGGCAATAGTGGATTTTTAACAACTTTTTCAGAGAGGTGTGCAGGAGACATTTACAGGCTTAACTAGCAGCATGGCCCGGCGTTGCCCGGGCTTGATTCAAAAATCGTACGACTCATACAGCAATCGCTATCACTTGACTTAAAATATTTTTGCCCTTCTTTGCCTTTAAAGGAGTGCCTTTTGCCTTTGCTGATGTTGCCATGCCTTACTTCTTGCCTATCTCACACTGCGAATTTTTTCTAAGCTCTATACTAAACATTAAATCTGTTACGAAAAAGAACTAAACAAAATGAACACAAAACGATCAGCTTTAAAAAAAGGACTCGTAACTGGAAAACCGAATGAAAAAGAATGTTAACAACAAATACTTTTTCACACCCAACGCAGTTCTGCGGAATCAGAATCAACGTTGAGTTTAAGCAAGCGAATGAGCCAATTGGAGTAAAGTGCCATGCAGATTTAAATTTTTCCCACTTGTGACGAATGCAGCTATCGATTTTTTTTGCATGCTAGTTAATATTCGTGTCAGTCAGCTGTTGGCTCTCATGCTGGCCAGTAGAAAATGGCTGCAAACTACATGAAAACTGTCATAGAAGCATGAAAAAATCGATTATTTCCACTATCGATGGGAGTTGGGAAATGCAAAGTTGGTCTTGGCCATCCCGCTAACTTGGAGCATGTGCATGTAAATTTTGGTGCAAATCCGTCGAAAATTGCGGCCGTGCATTCGTTACACACACACACAGACACACACACACACACACACACACACACACACATCATGCCTTTTATAGATAGAGATCCTATAAAACTTGGTGGACCTGAAATAAGAGTTCAAATCAATGAACCGTGCTTTTCACACAAACCAAAACACCATCGAAGTTGGCCCTATAAGAGTCAACTCTGGGGGTTTTGGCTTGATAGATGCAAGTACATCTCTAGTAATTGGGTATATGGAAATAGCCGGGCACAGAGAGCAAAAGATAATCCTGCCAATAATCGAGTGGTGAGACATGGGTCATGTATTCACAGCGATGAATGGCGAGCTTCCAGAGATCTAGCTAATAATCTAAACTACTCACATAGAACCGTCAACCACTCTTTGCACTTCGTTGACCTGCAGACAGGCATTCACACACAACATAGAGAATCATCGTGGAGAAAACATAAGATTTAAAATAAAAGCATAAGACTAATATTATTAAAATAAGATTAAAATGCGAGGATGGAATGAAATACGATTTACAAGTTATTGGGGTTCTATAATGCAATCAAAATACAATATCCTTTCAATAACCAAGTTATTTTAACTGTTTTTTTTCATGGAAAGTGAATAATAAATAATTATTTTAATTGTTCATTTATCAATAAATGAGTTCATTTATATTTCTAACACTTCTTTTAATAAATAGAACGTATTTTAACAAGGGTTTGCTCTTCTTGACATTGGTTTCGCTAATCTTGACATGGTGACAACTGGGCTCGCTGTTCTTGACATGGAAATATTGGGTACGCTAATTTTGACATGGGGATAATTGGGCTCGCTGTTCTTGACATGGAAATATTGGGTACGCTAATCTTGACATGGGGATAATTGGGCTCGCTGTTCTTGTTATTTGAGCTTAACACTATTAGCAAAATATTTCAATAACAATCATAATATGAATGCAGGTAATTATTTAAAGTAAGAGGATACAAATGAAAAAAATGAAATTGATAATTTTTTCCATTTCACTGAAGCAGACGTTAAACGTATGAGAGGGTTATCACTTCCTCTACTTTCCCTTTCTTTCTTTCTTTCTTTCTTTCTTTCTTTCTTTCTTATTATATATGCTTTCTTTTTCTTTAAAAACAGTGTCTTTGATATATCGTTTTCTTCCGTCTTTTCTCACAATCAAATCGGAATGGTTCATTATTTATCTGATGCAATGGTGGGGCATAACTCACGTCTTAACCAACTAACATAGAAACAAGGATAATTTGGGCACCTCGAGGCGGTGTAATGTTTAGCATACTTGTCTCGCTGTAACATTTACGACTGAGTAGTGAATTCGATCCCCCCCTAGCTCCTCCTTGTTTTCGGCCTTGTGCCACATCTAAGCCACGCTTGGGAAATCACTAGAAACAACGATAATTGTAGTATGTTTGAGAGGTGTGACGTATTGGTTTAATTAAATGCATGTTTCTAAATCTTTTGGATTTAACTATAATTTAAAAACTATGTTGCACTTCGCCTGACATTACCGAAATAAGTAACTGCCAGCATTTTTAATAAAGATGGATATTTTAAGCTGCAGCTTGCATGATATATTGCTCATATAAGTATAAATATCTTCTGAAAAATCTATCAACGTCACTTTTATTGTGACTTGCATAAAACAGTTCAGTGTAAACAGATTTGTTAGAAGCATGTTGCAATGATAGAAAGAATGATTTCGATGCAAATTAATGCTAGCATGAAATTAACGACCCCCAAATGAAATAAAGAAAAGTCCCCGTCTTGAACTAAGATGGCGGCTTCTTTTCACTTGAATTTTATTGAACAAATATGGTGCTTTCCTCTTAAAGTAAAAAACATTTGTTTACTTCTCGATAACAAATTAATTCAAAATCTGATATTTTATTGCAACGGCAAAATGGCGAGAGAAAGATTGTGTTGAGGTAATATTCGAAGTTTGATAGCGTCTTAGGAAATTTCAGATAAGTATTTATAGCTATTAATAATCTTAGCTAATTAAGTCACAAATTTGGGGAACCCTTTGAGGAATAAGCTTATTCGCTTGCGAGGCTAGATTGTTAAGCAGTGCTTCACAACGTGGCCCCAAATTGAAATAACCGGCATTTTTATCATTCGTAGACCTAATACGTTTTTGTATTAATTCTTTTACATAGCAATCTCTTTTCTGCTTTGTCTGTAAAATTATTTAACAAATTTGTAGAGACGTTAAAACCCGTACAGTAATTATGGAATTCCATTTTATAAACTTGATAATGTTCTAGGTTTGCCTTCGTTTTTTTTTTTTTTACTATTTTAGTTTTTTCATATGATTCACTGTCTTATAATAGAGCTTTTATTTATTTTGTCTTTGTAGAGCTCGAAGCCTATCATGGAGAAACGAAGAAGGGCACGAATAAACGCCAGTCTGGCTGAACTAAAGTCACTTCTGTTAGAAGTTATGAAAAATGAGGTGAGTCCAGAAATTCTATATGTAATGTTGTGAAAGCCATAGTTTAGAGACGAATATATATATATATATATATATATATATATATATATATATATATATATATATATATATATATATATATATATATATATATATATATATATATATTATATGCCAGCTATACTGCAATCCCTGTTGTAGGCGCTTGCTCAGGCACATTTGTGGTTATTCGGTTAGGGCACGTCAGGCTATATGACGGTTTCGTATAGAATGCAGGTTCGATTCCTGTCGGAGGACGAATATTTTCTATGAAAATTTCTCGGACATTCAGGCCGGTAAATGTAATTAAGACTGTTTATTATAAACAGAGCATTTACTTAAATATTTGTATATATAAAAAGAATATATAAACATAAAAATTTCTTAAAATAATTGTCGGATTTGTCCATTTCATAATATATCTATATATATATATATATATATATATATATATATATAACACTTAACAGTTACACATCCCCTCTCTAGGAACCAATAAAACTGTCAAACTGACCAGGGGAATTCAGAGAAGCATAGATCCATCCAGCTCTTATCTCAAATAACAACTTAAAAGAGACTGTTTGACCAACACAAGGAATGTTAAAAAATTCATGTTAAAAAGCTAAAAAAAAAAGAAAATGAAAACTACAGACAAAAGTTCATTTTCTCCATCAAGACATTCATTTCTGTAGTTCACTACTACCAGGAAGCAGAAATTTTTCTTCTCCTGATGATGGCCATGTTGGCCGAAACTAGTCGAGGAATCTAAATGAAATAATAAAAATAAAAACGAAAGAATATTAATCTACACCCCAGTGTGTCTGAAGATTTTAATTTTAAATATTTTTATTGTTCAATATATATATATATATATATATATATATATATATATATATATATATATATATATGCAAGAGAGTGTCGTGCATGTGTCCCCAATGGAAGCATTTAATGTTGTTTTTTATTATCAGTGCTGGAGATGCAATTACTCAGGGGCATAAGAATTCATAAACAAGATTATTTTTATATAGGGGGAATTTTATGGCCCGGTGTTGTTGGTAATAATTAATTTAGATGTTTTAAATTTATTGTAGTAGATGGTGAATCTTAGGCGTTTGTCAGGATCATTGAGTGAGTGACATACTGGAGAAATATTCTAAATTGCATTTTTTATCCTGCTTATAATTAGGGTTCATTTAGTTACGATAAAATAAGATAATGGTGTGTTTATTTTGCTTGCGTCAGCGTGGGTTCTTGTGTCATAAATTTCGTTAAGGCTAATTTTATTTGTTCCTCGACAACGTAGTTAGGGAAATCGTTGTTCTTTGTTTAATGTTGCTAAGTTCCTTATAGAATAATATGCACAACACTCTTTCGCAAATTGTCCTGTTACCTGTCGAAACTTAGTGCAATCTATGCACACAGCGACCAGTACACCATGAACGGCCAATATATATATATATATTGTTTTCATGCATATAAAAAATGACATTGCACTTTGCCGGTAAACGTTTCCATCACATGTTGCTGTGCTGGGTTTAAGTTTCAAAGAAAATATAACGTCACTTTTAAAACAACGCTCTGCTTAAAATACATTTGATTTTATTTTCTTATCTTTACTCTGTCACACTCCTGACGATGACTCATGTGAGTCGAAAGTTTATACTTTATACAAATGTCAGCTATTTTTTTTACATCTACCAACAGCCACACTTGTAAAAAGTTAGTCGCATTTAAAAAAAAGAAAAAAAGAAAAAGAAAAAGCGGTTAATAAATCTTATAGACATAAAATGTCTGTTCTTTTCAATAAGACTTGCTTGAAAGAATAATTCTAGCCAAAATATTCTCTGTATATATATATATATATATATATATATATATATATATATATATATATATATATATATATATGATACAACGATATATAATTCTATATATCAACAAACAGTATTTAGGAAAAATAGTATGACGTATTGTGACGCATTTTATCCAGTCCGATGAAATTCTAACGGATGAAACGCATCATAAAAACTTTTTCCAATTTGTCATACTATATATATATATATATATATATATATATATATATATATATATAATGTGTCTGTGTATATTTGAGTAGCAATTCCACTTTTATACATGTTTCGTTACAGGCGACTGACAAGGTACTGTGATTAAGCTTTTTATTTAATTAAAACGTTAACACTCAGTGACATTAACTATGAACACGGTCACAATGTACCGACCGTGCTCCGAAAAAAAAATTCTATAACTTTAGACACATACATAAAAGAAAAACCCACACATTTAGTTAAAAATAAAAATCGTACTTGATAATGGCTCAAAGAATAGCCGAAAGCGCTCGGATATGCAGAACTTTTGGACAGTTCGTACACGCTTTCTGTCAAGAAACGAAAACACGTTTACGAACACAAAAATAATTAAATAAAAAGCTTAATCGCTGTGCCTTGTCAATCGCCTTTAACCATACACACACATACACACACACACACACACACACACACACACACACACACATATATATATATATATATACATATACGTTATTTTTAGTGGATACCAATATTTGAATAGATGCTTCGTTTATTTTTAAATAGTATTTTAATTCATATACTGGCCTGCAGATTCGAGAAATCTTATTAAAGATAAATGCAACCTTCAACCTGCGCTCTTGCATTTTTCTTTAATAAGAATTCTCAAATATTCGAACCGACTGGGTGATATAAATTACTAAATAAAATACTAAAATAGAATACAGGTCGTCTATCCAATTACGACTATCTACTAAAAAGTAAAGTTTAAAGTGATAAAAATGTCGGAATTATTAAATAAAAAAATCATCATTTATTTAGAAATATATAAATATAAAAGTAAACATTGCAGTCAACACTCAGAGGCGACATACTTATCCTTGCTTGAACCGGCTTCTAATGCTCTGGATAGTAGTCTATGTGTAAAGGAAACTTGGATGAGTTCCACTTTGTTCCAATCTGTGAATGAGCGGCGCAATATCGAGTCTAGTTCACTATCTCTTCGTCACCGCGGCGCGTTAGTACAGTTGATATGACGTTTGCCTCTCAATGTAACTGTCCGGGTTTCAATTCTCGGTAGTGGATGCTACACTGCTGATGAATCCCGAATATAGGACGAAACTGCATTCTGTTGAGGTTTCTTCTAGACTCGATGAATTACTTAATATAGTACACAATAAAATCCGAAATTACCTCATATGGGGAATATGCCTATTTCAACCGACGAAATTTTTCAATCTTATTCAACCCCGTTATTGACTGAGTTCGTACCGGAATTAGAAATTTAACTGTTATGTTTCTAATTCCGACACGAACTCATTCTATATCCGAGTTGAATAAGACGGCGAATCTCGTCGATTGAAATAAACCTATTCCCCATATCAGACAATTTTGAATTTTACTGTGTACTAATTAATTGCTCTGTAGTAATAAATTCATTGAGCACTTTTTGCGGATCATTTTTAATATTTTATATTACTCGGAATCTCTTGGATTATATACCAACGGATTTAGAATCTTTAACATCTGCCGCCAATTCCTACATTAATTTGAAAAACAATTACTTATTATCTCCTTCCTGCTAAAGTTTTGAATTTAAGCTTTGAATATCGATCGAACATTATATAGTGAAAATCTCAGATCAAAATATAACTTATATGTCAGGTTATTAATCTGAACTTGCACTCAAAATGTTGGCTAAAATCTATCATAAAGTGATGGAAAAGGTTTTAACTTTTTTTCACTTAATGTGATTTAAGTTTGTTTCATAATTTTACACTAATCCATGTTAATTGAGAATATATTGCACCGAATAATTTACCAAAGTCTCAAATGGTATTTTCAAATTCTATTATTTCTTATCTTTAACCCATTATATATATATATAATATATATATATATATATATATATATATATATATATATATATATATATATATGGCAAATGATATTTACTTACTTTACAGAAAATCTGGGGAAACAGATGTGTGCTGGATTTTGTACAACTCGTTAACCCCAAAATGTATCATGACGCACTTACAATAGGTTTTTATGCTTATACTCAACTACACTTTGCGACAAGGTGTCAGTGCGCACCAGGAAATAAAGTTAGTTCCTCAACCGGAAGGAGTTTGGTTATTATTATTATTATTGTTTTGGTATATGAGCAGGCAGCTAGTTCTGTGCTATTGCCTCCATCTTACATTTCAGTTTATTCGCTGTAATAAGGAAGGACAAGAAATACTAAAATAGATACAACATTAAAAACAGCATCAAATCTGTTTTCGGTGTTAGTGCATGCATTTAGCAACGGGATGACAATAATGTGTATTTCACATGTGGTGTCAATTTTTGGTTGAGGCGTGAATATTTATTTTCTTTTGTTCTTTCAGGGCAATCGTCACAGTAAAATGGAAAAGGCTGACATTCTGGAGATGACTGTGAAACAATTACGACTTTTACAAAGACAACATTTTTCAGGTGAAGATTCCAAACAAAATTCTTGCCTAAGCATCAAATATGAAAGTAACAAAGAAATTATTATTTTGAATTATTTACATAAAGTATTCTTTCTTATTACTAAAAACGTTACATTTACAGATGCACGGGTTTGAATAGACATCCCTGTTTATTAAACAATGTAGTTCAATGTATGCCGGTCGGTACATTCGATAGTCTTAATAAAGATGTGGCGGGATTCGAACCTTCGACCCCTTGTATTGAGGAAACTAACTTCGCTCCAGGCGTACTTTACATCGTTCATTATATTAAAGGAAAGTTGGTTCTTTGTGTCATCCCAGACAATTTTTCTCGTCAGAATCTGTCTTACATATTTATAAGTCTACCATTCATCCTTGCTTTGAATATTGCTGCCACATATGATCTGCTGCTGTTGCTATATATTTAACGATTGTCGACAAAATCCAAATAATCTGCAATTTTATTGGTCCTGACCTGGCCTCTCGGCTTCAATCCCTTTCCCATCGCCGTAACATAGCTTCACTGTGTCTTTTGTCTTTTTTTCTATAAATACTTTCATGGTGATTGTTCTGATGATTTTTCGTCTATGGTACCGCGACTTTATGAATTTAAGCGCAGTAGTAGATTAATAGCAATGTCTCATCATTTTAGAGCTGAGATGGCTAGATGTTACCGTAAGTTCTATGTTAAAAGTTTCTTCCATCGCACGTCTCACTCTCAACTCTCTTTTGCCTTTTTACTTCTTACACAGTCAACTTTGACGTTCAAAATTTTAAACGGAATGTCAATCGTTAACTTCTGTCTCTAATTTTTGTACTTTTATTGTTACGTTTCCCCAGTCTTGTTTATTTTCGCATATTCTCTATCACTCAGTAACCCCTTGCGTCTTAGTGACTTTATTGCCTTGCTTGCGGTAAAATGATTAAAAAAAAAGCAACGAATAACTGCCAGGAACGCAAGTTTAATTGACCCTTTTAAAAATCTGCACATCTCTCGTTGGGACCTTTTGAAGCCCATATCTGCTAACTTCATTTTTGTATCAGAACAGTAAACAAAGTAATTTCTAAGGAAATAATGATTTTATTTGTAACCCGGAATTATTTAAATGTTATATTTAATGGGTCTTGCTCGAAAATTATTTTTTGTTTCTGATTATCGTTGCTTACGAACGACCATAACAAGTCCGCCAGACATTTGCGATAAAAAGCAAAAGGAATTAAACTTGAAGGAATAGTAGCAGAACAATTAAGAATTGAAAAACAAATCATTGAGAATCTGTCTATATTTCTGAGATGTGGTATTATGTACATTATTCGGACTATTGTCCTCATCTTTGTCGCCATATTTATCACCCTTCAGTATCTGTCTATATTTCTGAGATGAGGTATTATGTACACTATTTACATTATTCGGACTATTGTCCTCATCTTTGTCGCCATATTTATCACCCTTCAGTATCTGTCTATATTTCTGAGATGAGGTATTATGTAGACTATTTACATTATTCGGACTATTGTCCTTGTCTTTGTCGCCATATTTATCACCCTTCAGTATCTGTCTATATTTCTGAGATGAGGTATTATGTAGACTATTTACATTATTCGGACTATTGTCCTTATCTTTGTCGCCATATTTATTACAACGTTTCGGCCGTTGTACGCTCCGGCCTTCTTCAGGTGGTTGGAATATCGAACTGAACGCTTTATTTCGCTCACTGGCGTAGACTGTTCTAGTTCGACGTGCCATGTTTAATGGATGTCAGTTATCAGTTATCTCCTGTTAATTTCCCTCTGAAAGTTCTCCACGGCCTTAACTGGGTATTGAACTCACACTCTTTGGGTCCTGTCACTGAATCTAACCAACGCCTTTATCCAGTGTGTCATGTGTCAAGGACAGTCTTACCCCAGTGAGCGAAATAAAGGGTTAAGTTCGACATTCCAAACACCTGAAGAAGGCCGGAGCGTACAACTGCCGAAACGTTGTAATAAATATGGCGACAAAGATGAGGACAACAGTGCGAATAATGTAAAATCATTGAGAAATGCACATTTGGTTTTGGGTCTGTATGTAAGCATGAAAGAAAATAGGAGACATTGTTGAGCATATTTCAACACCGTACATTTAATAAGAACATATCCCTTGAATATTGCAAATTAATCTACCATAATTCCCCATGTATAATACGCATTTTTTTTATAAAAAAAAAAAGCAAAATCAGAGGCGCGTATTATGCACAGCTACAGAAAATCTTTAAAAAATTGCCGTAAAATAAAACAAGAATTATCATAGAATAATATTATTCTAATTTAGTTTTATGTTTAAAACCATTTTTAATAAGAGTAAGAAACGCTGGTCGTAATGAAATTAGAGAGGTACAATTGATAGGGTTTGATTACCAAAAAGGGGCGCGTATTATGCATGAGTAGAAGCATTTTCCCACACTTTCAGCACAACTTTAGATGTGCATATTATAGATGAATGCGTATTATACACGGGGAATTGCAATAACTTGATTTTATTATTTTATAAATGCATTTTTCGGGACGTATGTAGGCGATCATGATTCTCCACCACTTCCATTTCTTTACTATCTGTAAATTGCTATGCATTCTTGGGAAAAATGGAGTGTTTTCTGTTGCCTTTTCCACTGTTTGAATTCAGAGTTTATTTTCTCTTTGACTGGTTGCCAGATAAGGCTGGAGAGCCTAGTCTACGCAGCTATTTAACACATAGAGGGAGACGGGGACTGAGAAGATACGAATTATTGTATTTCCCAAGGGCATTAGTGCGAAAGTGAACTAGTCTAGAATTTAAATTCGGCTCGCTAATTCCACTTTCCGCTCTGATATCCGCTACACTAGATGCACATTTTGTAGATAGGGTCGCCTATCGCCCGGTTCATACTCGTCCCCGATCTTTTAAACGGGAGTAGAGTTTTATCCCTTATTTCCTGTTTAGTATTGGGTTTCCAGCTCTTTCTAAAGTATTCTCATTTTCTTTCACTTCCAGTAGCATCTTAGTGGCATTATCGCCTTGCTTGGGGTGAATTGATTAAAAAAGAATATCCTCGTGTCAATTTAGAGCGTTTGTATTTATTATACACAACAACGGGTAAAGTAGATGTAGTTTTTGTCAGAATTTCTGGGATCTTTAGTTATCTTTAGCGGGTGGGGGCAATATCTTAAAGGATCGAAGAGTTAGTTGGTGAAGTTGGCTGCATAATAATTGTGAGTTGAATCCCTGGACCTGGTAGTACCGATATACTCTCGTCCTGGGCATGACGATAAACTACATCCGGCAGCAAGGCCTCTGATTGGGAGGTTTATTTGTTGCTATTCTCAGGTCCACCCACACCCAGGGTGGTAGCGTCCGTTAGGCGTCCCAGTTATGGGCAAATAATGAACTTTCAAACTGGGTTCAAAACACTATGAAAGTATTAAAATACATTTTCATATTCATAGTAAAAAAAATTCCAGCAATAGATTTTAATAGTGAAAAAAAATTACCAAAGAAAATTAAATTTCCGCATTAAATGACCCATGAAGATTTGGCATGCCGTTAAACAAACCAAACAAAAACAAAACCGATATACTCAGACACAGTAGAACTGAGATTAAATAAAGAACAATTAACTAAGATGATATATACCTAGACGCCAACGTTATATATTAAATAACGTGTTCAGTTTAAAATTAACTGAAGATTATCTGACGAGCAACATCCGAAACATTATAAGATCAAAGATAAGGATATTAGTCCAACTATAACAAATATGATATTAAGAAGACGATATTAATCTGACTCTATATTTGTAATTTGTACAAAAATACAATTCTAATTCCATTCTTTTGTTTTTCTTTTAGCTTCTGCCAATGATGATTCTCCTGTCTTAACGAAGTATGTATTGGGTTTCCAAGAATGTGCTAGCGAAGTCAGTCGCTATTTGAGTTCCATGGCCGAAGTAGACCCTGAGATTCGAACCCGTCTCCTCAACCACCTGGCTACCTACATTACTTCATCTCCCTCTTTTCCCAACTCTTCTTCGCCCAAACGACACTATTCGTCGTCTTCGCCTTTGCCTGCCGCTCTGGTCAACCGACCAACGTCCGCGTCCGAAAGTTCCTCCTGTCCTTCTCCGGACAAAGTAGCCTCTTCTTCACCACTACCATCACGACATGTCTTTGCGGCGAAAGTTCCAGGGTGCCCTACCGAAATAATCACTTCAAACGACGCTTCTTCTTCGTCCGATTCCAAACAAACGATTTCGTCTGCGACAACAAATGTGACCGGCGTGACCAATGGCATCCTGACTTTAGACGCTTCTCTTTCTCACATCCAGACATCAAAAATGGGAAACGTCCAGTTGCTGGCCACGAAGATGCCGGCTTGTCAAGTAGCATTCGTTCTTCCCGCTAGCGTCATGACTGACGACTCCCAACAAACACTCCGGCCTCAACAGAATTACTTCCCTGTTCCAATCTATGCACCCACCTCCCAAGCCACCCTCATGCCGATGACCAGCTCAGGACCCAGCACAGGAGCAATGATGACTTTGATGCCCGATGTAACCAAATCTGGAATCAGTGTAGCACCACTGACCAATATGTCAGCCGTACCTCAGATTATATCCTTTCCAGGGACATTGCCCAGTCCCATATCGTCGAGAGCACAGATTTTAGTTAATGGCACAGACATTTACAAAGAGACTGAACTTACACACAAAAACAGTACCCGGATGTCGTCACCTGAAATGAAACAAACATTATCTCCTTCTCCTTCTGTAACCAAGGAACTTACAAGAAACCACATATCAGCCAATGAAGAACCGTGTACTTTACGTGTTTGCGAAGATGAAAATGTTTGGCGGCCATGGTAAATTCAGTAACAGTCTGACATGATTATTCTCTTAGATGCGAAATCGAGATTTGAGTAATATAGAAAAAAATCCAACTTTACCATTACCAGCATCACTTGAAATGAATGTAATTATCAATAAATTTATAATATAGAACCTATGAGATCTTGAAATACATACTTCTGCGCTTTTCCATCATTGCAAATCAGTCAGTTAAATGCCATACTTGATACACGCTTGGGCGATCATGTCTTTCGTTTTATGACTGACAAGGCAGAATATTTTCCCGCTGTATCTTTCTTTTTTGCGGTAGACATGGTAGCCAACCAAGGCAATAGGATCCAGTCTATCCTGCTATTCAACCCAGAGATGCGAAAAGAGATGAGTTCATATTGTTCCGTAGGTGAATTTAACGAAGAGGACTGGAATTCGAACTCGGCTCTACGATTTCTTATTCCGAGCCGATATCCATCACACCACAGAGTGTATCCTACAAATCAGATCTTTCAAAATATGCTCATAATATATTGAGTATATATAGATATATTTGAGATATTACTTTAGTAATTCAAGTGGAATGTACAAAAATAACATTGTGGTTTCAATTAGATTCCCACGGAAATATTGTAAAATACAAATTTTACTCATTTAAAAATGTCTCGTGACTAAAAATGTACGCAAAGTTTATTACTTTAAACTTTAATTGAATACGAAGGGACGTACAAAGATGGCTTCTTTAAACCTACTTGAAACTATGATTTTACAGAATGTCTTATATCATCTAATGTCTGTAAAATGATATTTGCTCCTAGGGATGATGATAAACGACATCAAGTTCTCTGATCGGGAGATCGGAAGTTTTGAGGAGTGTGGAACCATGTCTTAATTGCTGTTATCCCCAGGTCAATTCTGATCGGGGGTCCCAGCTATAGGTAAATAGTGAAACCCAAACACTATGCAAGTATAAAAATACCAGCAATACATTTTTTATATAAAAAAGTTACCAACGATATATTTTTTATAGTAGAATAACCAACAATACATTTTCAAGTAACAATAAATTTTATTGCAAAATGACCAATAATACATTTTATTGGTAGTTGAAGCCTTAAAACTATGTACAAAATATTTAGATTTCGGCATTAAATAACCCGTAGAGGTGCTGATATGTCGCTAAAAAATCAACCAAAATGATGATAGATTTTTGTATTTATATAATATGCAAATTCTGTTTTAAACTCTTTCAAATCTCGTTTGAAAAATATTATAATTATTGCAAAATAAATCCATTCTTTTCTGTATTTTAAGACCGAGAAAGACAGACTGAATTTACCAAAGACTAAAGAGTGGCAATTTTTCATCGGATCTTATGACAAGAATCAAATGATTCAAAAGATTTCTTATTAAAAAGTATTTATTTAAAAGTATTATTATTATTATTATTATTATTATTGATTCTCCTTAAAATATACTTTTGAGTTAGATACAAAAAAATGGACCTATTTTTTGTTGGCGACCCTACAAAAGAGATACTGAAAAGTTCAATCCGATCAAACAATCCTTCAAAAATATCTGATAATTGATCAGATTTAAACCAGTGGGTTTTATGGAATTATTGTTTAAAGAAATACATCAAAAATACGTTTAAAAGTGTCTCTGGATTCATTTCTTTCTTTTATATGCAATATATAAACGCGTTTTTTTTTTTTTTTTATAAATGATAATATCAGTACTTTTATATGGAAAGTGTTCAGATGAACGCTCCATTCTTTAGTTCTACCAGTTCTAACCCTCACGGCTAATACTCCCCATGTTACGCACATTGTATCGAACCATTATTATTCCCTTGGTATTCCACTGGTGAGATGTACAGTGCTGTTCAATAAAAGTGACTCACCTGATTTTTTTTTTACTTAAAAATTCTTTCGCCTATTGTTTTGGGGGTCAAACTAATTTATAAAAAAGAGTTTTTCCCTAAATCTCATTTATATCCAAAATTATAATTATCATTAGAATACCTTAGGGTGAATAAACTTTTTTCCTAGGTGGTCGGGAAGGGGTCATTATATTAGTAAGATTTAAAATTATTTTAATCCCAAAAACAATAGACGAAAAATATTTTTAGTAAAAAAAAAAATCAGGTAAGTCACTTTTATTGAACAGCATTATAAGTTCCAGTGGAACAGCTTTTTCCGCGGAACCGGTGCTTTATAGAAACGACTTCCAAGAGGACGCATCCCCGATCACTATAATCTTAACCAATCTACAGTCTCGGGTTAACCGTTGTCTTCCCCACATATCCCAGTAAACTGTGTCTCTTATTCTGAAATTCTCTACATCGACATCTTTTTATTTCCATTTTCTTTAAAATTTCCTCAAATCCTCTGAACAGGAGTAGGGGTTTATCCCGCATTTCCTGTTTAGGACTGGGTTTCCGGCTCCTTCTAAAGTCTTTTTATCCTTTTTTACTCACAGTAGCTTCTTGCGTCTTAGTGGCATTATCGCCTTGCTTGGGGTGAACTGATTAGAAATAAATATATTTACTGAACTCAAGGACAGAAATCTTATTTCAAATTTGAGCGTCTTCAAGTTCACTTGCGCAGAGTTTTAATTATTCTGAGCAAATATCGCACTGAAACACCAGTTTGTGCTTGATTACCGAAGTTAAGCAACGTCGAGCCAGGTCAGTACTTAGATTGGAGAACTACTTGAGAACACCGGGTACTGTAACGGGGACGACCATCTTCATCACGTAAAAGAACTTAATTGCTATGGAAACCACAACAGCAACGCTTAGTGTTTTGTGAAGCTGTAGCCTACATGTCCGTCAATGGCGGCTACGGGGTTAAAAGAAGCGAGAGAAGTGCGCGAAATATTTCTGTTTACTAATTTTCGGAAACTGATTGCAGAAAAGAATCATTTTTGAATATACAGATTGAATTTTATAATTTTTTACGCAATATTAATTAATACTCAAAATTCTCAACTAAATGTTTATTAACAATCATTTTTAATCACTGGGTCAAAAGTTATTAAATCTGATGGGTAGATTTTTCAGCTAACCTGTTGCCTTTCTCTTAATGTACTGGAATCATAAATGTTCACCAAATCTTTTATCCGACTTACGTCCAGATCATATTTAAACACAGGTTCCCGTACAATCACTGAAGTTAAGCAACGTCTAGCCTGGTCAGTACCTAGATGGGTTAACTCTTGGGAATACTACGTGCCGTAAGTTTGAAATGTGCTGGTGGTGTAATGGATAATGGCTCGGAATCATCAATCGGAGAGCCGAGTTCTAATTCCAGATGGGTTCAGTATTCTCACTTACGCGTAAATCCCCTTGGGGAAGGTATGAATTCGCATATTCTTCTCCCCAGCTACGGATTAATTAGTAACACGTTTATCACCAAACCATTATTAACTCGTCAAAATTTTTTTTTTCTTACAATCTAAAAATATTTTCTGGCTTTACATAATCTGTAAAGGGTTGATAAGCCGTAAAAAAGAATCAATAAAAATATTTTTTTTATCCATTTAGGAAAGATAATGAAAAAAGAAACGAGAAATATTGAAGTGTTGTTGGGACTCTAAATTCTTTCTGAAGACATCTTGGTCACATTAGCACCAAGGCAGAACATCGGGGGCGGGGAAGATTCTGGTTTCTTCAAAGAATCAGCGAAAACGTTTGAGATTTTCATACGGATGTCATGCCTGGCGCCAAACCCGCCTGTCAGTTGTATGCAACTGCTTTCTATGGTCAATGTTTTAAAATGGTTTGGTGTGAGGGAAGCCTGTGAGTTTTAACAAAGATAATCCTGGCGCTACAGAATCATAAACAACTTTAACAAATAACAGAAACCGCATCACTTGATGACTTTCAACACTAGCAACTGATAAAATGAATATCACATGTAACTCTAATGGAAAGTAATAATAATAAGTGATATTCCACACTACTTCAAATAAAAGGTTAGGAAGGAAACTCCCATCAATACTGAAAAGATCGATAACAGCTACTGGACTTGAGGAACAAGAACACAGGCAAAAAAATTCAAAGTTCTTTTTAAAATATTGGGGGTCGCTGAATTGTAGTAAGCTTTTCCAATTATTATTAGTAAATATAATTTTTACTTGATAATAATGTTACATAACCGCTACAAATTCATACAAAATTTGAAACTAAATCATTCTAATTAAAATTCTATAACAATGAAAACAATTCTTGTAAAAATTCACTCACCGAAAAAAATATTTCTGAACACAAGTGTCCATCATATATCTTATTCATAAAGACAATTAAAAAACTTTTTCATTAAATAATGTCTTAGTTTTATTGCCTTTTAATTTTACGATTCAGAGCAGATTTCCTGTTTTATAAAAAAATAAAATAAAATAATTGATTTAAATTCTCCAAGGATCGTATTTATCACTAATATAAACATTAAGCCCTACAAAAAATAATTTCTCGAAATTTCATAAAATTAAATAAGTGTGTGTGTGTGTGTGTGTGTGTGTGTGTGTGTGTGTGTGTGTGTGTGTGTGTGTGTGTGTGTGTGTGGATCTAGCTAACACCTTTATCCACCTCAAGGACACATGGCACAGTGGATAAAGGTTGGTTAGATTCAGTTGGCGTTGGTTAGATCCAGTGACAGGACCCAAAGAGTGTGAGTTCAATACCCGGTTAAGGCAGTGGAGAACTTGCAGAGGTAAATTAACAGGAGATAACTGATAACTGACATCCATTAAACATGGCACGTGGAACTAGAACAGTCTACCCCAGTGAGCTAAATAAAGGGTTCAGATCGACATTCCAACCACCTGAAGGCCGGAGCGTACAAGGGCCGAAACGCTGTAATAAATATGGCGACAAAGATGAGGACAATAGTCCGAATAATGTAGATAGTCTACATAATACCTCATCTCAGAAATATAGACAGACAGCAATTTTATTGTGAAAAAATTGAGTTGCCTAATAAAATGTGACATCATGTAAATCGCTGATAAAGTCTGTGACCAGAAAGCCGGCACAAAGAAACCTTTCTCTGCGTTTATGGTTCTTTCCTCTCGTTGTATTTTTTCTTCCTAGGGATAAGGACCTGTTTTTATTTTAAAACTATCTCCTTATAGCAGGCTACCAATCTAGCGTTAAAAAAAAAAGAAAAGAAATTAGACCGATCGTCAAAGTACGTCATTTTTATTCCTTCATCCTTATCTTTCCCAACGGCACCCGTTACCTCTCTTCCCCTGAACATTATCAGTTTCTTACAGAATAGATCTCTTGTATTCCTTGATTTGGCAACAAGTGAATCTTCTCGAGGACAACTGATCATTTCTCGAGTTTGGTGGAGTCTTGACACGCTGAAGAAATAACAGAAAAACTTAAGTAGTTTTTCTTCCTGTCTTCTCCGATCCAGTTTCCTTTCTTCGCACTTTCTTCCTTCTCTTTCTTTTTTTTTTCTTTCTTTCTTTCTTTCTATCACTATTTCAGCTTTCTTTCTTTTTCTTTCTTTCTGTTGCTATTTCAGCTTTCTTTTTTGTTTGTTTCTTTGTTTATTTCACTCACCATTTCAGCTTTCTTTCTTTCTGTCACTATTTCAGTGTTCTTTCTTTCTTTCTGTCACTATTTTAGCTTTCTTTCTTTCTATCTTTCTGTCTTTTTTTCTTTCTGTCACTATTTCAGTGTTCATTCTTTCTTTCTTTCTGTCACTATTTCAACTTTCTTTCTTTCTTTCTCTCTTTCTTTGTTTCTTTCTTTCTGTCACTATTTCAGCTTTCTTTCTTTCACTATTTCAATGTTCTTTCTTTCTTTCTTTCTTTCTGTCACTATTTCAGCTTTCTTTCTTCCTTCCTTTCTTTCTTTCTTTCTTTCTTTCTTTCTTTCTTTCTTTCTTTCTTTCTTCAGAATTTGTCTTTCTTTTTCATCTTCTTTCTTCCCGCCTCTCTTGCTTCATTTTTTTATATAGTTCTTTCGGTTTTTCTTTTTCTTAAGTCGCTCTTGATTTCCTGCCTCATTTTTTTTTTTATTTCTATCGTTTTTCTTTTGATTCCGACAGTCCTTCTTTTCATTACAATATAAACAATTTTTTTCTTCTTCCACTTTTCATATTTGTTTATTTCAACAATTTTCCTTCATCTAGCGACTAATTTCATCAGTCCACCATTTGATATGCCATGTTTATCAATCTCCAGGTTTGGAGTCAACATATAGTATAATTAAAAGTATGAAAAGTAAATGTGTGTGTGTGTGTGTGTGTGTGATAGAGATAGAGAGTGAGCAGATTCAAAGAGAGAAGGAGCGAGACTAAACTCAAATTGAGAGAGAGAGAGAGAGAGAGAGTAGACACAAAGAGTTAGGGGACGAGAGCAGAGGCAAAGCGAGAGATAGAAGAGTAGAATCAGAAAGAGAGAGCAGAGAGAGAGAGAGAGCGGGAGAGCAGACTCAAAGTGGGGGAGAACAGATGCAGAAAGAGAGAGTGAGGGCAGACTCAGAAAGAAAGCAGGCCTAAAGGGAGAGAGACAAAATAGACCCACAGAAAGAGATAGAGAGAGGGAGAGAGAGAAAGAAAGAGAGAGAGAGTAGATTCAATACTTATGTCTGTAGCTTCGGGCTATAAATTATAGTGTCATACGTCCATCTTCAGAGACAACTCCCTTACAGGCGTTCCATCCCATTTTATCCAAGTGAAAAGAATCTCTGATATCGAATTGTAGGAAAATTGTTTTTCTCCTTAGCATGCAGTATTGAAGCCATTGCTAAGTCTGCCGCTAAAAAAAAAAAAAAAAAAAAAAAAATTGGTTCACTGAGTCGTGCTAGACTATTTTTTCTCGCCAGAATCTATCTTACATATTTATAAGTTTACCATTCATCCACGATTTGAATATTGCGGTCACATCTAATCCGGTGCTTCTGTTAAATATTTAGAGATTCTTGATAAAATCAAAAAAAAATCTGCAGTGTTATTAGTCATGACCCGGCATCTCTGCTTCATTCACTTTCCCATCACAGTAAAATAGCTTCCCTATGTCTTTCCTATAAATATTTTCATGATAATTGTTCTGATGTGCTTTCCTGTATGGTATCTAGACTGTACGAATTTAAATGCAAGACAAGATTGGCGACAAGGTTTCATCATTTTACAATTGAAATAGCTAAATGTAACCGTAAGTTCTATGCTAACAGTTTCTTTTCTCTGTATTTCTCGCTTGTGAAATCCTCTTCTGGCTTGCTTTCCAGTAAAATAATTTTATGTTACAAATTTTTTTTTTTGCGATAATTTAAACTAAAAGCAAGTAATATTCATTTCAAATCAGATTGATAAAACATTAAATTACAAGTTTCAGAAAAGTATATTTTATTTTTGAAATGTTTTTCTAATAAAGAGAATTACATTTTTCTGAGAGAATTTTAAATCTGGCTAAAATTTGCCATTTTTAGTAATTTTGAAAAAAAAAAGAACCCCTTTCAGTCAATTTAAATTCGTTTTGAAATACAACAAAGTATTATTGGAAATATTGATTTAATCTATTAGCTTGAAATGAAAACTAAAAGAAATGCCCCAGTAAAGTTTTTTTTTCATTTTTAAAAATGTATTTTAAATCTTAGGTTTCGCTTTTCTTTGGAGTCCCTACCTTAAAGGGTCAGCCTATACTTTTTTACTTTTATAAACTACCTCAGCTCTAAATGGTTACAAGTTACGGTTTTGAATCACAGCTTTCAGAATAAAGGTGCACCAACAACATGAAAATAGCGCAGTGGTTTTAGATTTGAACAGAAAAGAAAAATGTCCGGGATATGTTTTGTTTGCTTCTTGTCCACAATCTTCCAATTCTGATGGCAAATTTGTTTGGATTTTTTTAAAAATACTTTTTCTCTCTATCTTTTCTTTTTAGGAAGTTGTTAGCCATTCTGTTTACTCCTCGTACTTTCACGATGTGGAAGAAGGGGAAAAATTAGTGGCTTCCTTGTAAGAAAAAAAAATTAACAGAAAAAAAATCTTAGTCTATTAATCAACTTTCTTTTCCTCGAAAATGTCTTTTTTTTCTACATCTTCCTCCTTGACAGGGAATATGCTATTGTATGCCTTGTAATCGCTTAAGGAAGGCATAAAGACGGAAGGAAATAGCGAAGCCTTAAAGATTTGCTGGATTTTTTATGCTTAATGCATTGAGGCTAAGATGGAGACGGATGCTACGTTAAGGCTGTCACTTTTTTGACATCGAAGGTCAGGGCGATGGGTCAAGACAAAATACAGTCTGAGGTGGCGGACGAGAAAACAAAAGAAAGAGAAAATATGATGAGAAAAACAAAGAAGAAAACGGTAATGGGTGCAGAAGTAATTAAAAGAAAAAGAAACGGAGAGGGAAAATAAATGTGAGAAACAAATAAAGAACTACTACTACTACTACTACTACTAAATGAAAGAGAAACCTTAAGAGTTAGGGTTTCGCCTTCTTACGATGTCGAATTCGGCATCATCATCGTCATCATCCGTCGACTTCCCTGTGGTTGGTCGGAACTCCATTAACAACCCCTTTCCACACTGCTCGGTCCTGCATTCCCGTCTCCAGATCTCCAATGTCCAACCCTGAGTCCCGAGCCCTGGTGTCTGCCCTTGACGTACTTTTCATCATGCTCATCATCTTTCAACCTCCCTGTGGTTGGCCGGAACTCCATTAACAATCCCTTTCCATGGACTGCTCGGTCCTGCATTACCGTCCCCAGATCCCGAATATCCAACCCTGAGTCCCGAGCCATGGTGTCTTGGAAAGTCAACTTTCGCGAGAAGATACCTCCCAAATGATGCCAAAGAAGTAAGGATGAGATGGCAATGGCTGGTAAACTGTCACCGATTTTGTTTTTAGCTTAAGAGAGATTGGTCTCATTTCTCCGTATATTGTGTTACATGGGATCTCCAAATGATGTTCTGGATTTTCCTAAACAGATTTGTATATGTTCCATCTAGTCTTCCTTTAAGACGAACAGATAGGCGTCATGGAATGCTCTGACCATACCGCTCTTCTGTGATCGGGTGGTGCAGCTCGTGTGAACGGTTCTCCTGGAACTAGACATTATAATTCAACAAAAAAGAATGGAAAAGTTTTGTTATTTTATATTTTGTAACGTGTAAACTTTCATCGAGAAATCAATGGAAAACAACTTCACTATCTTTCCGAAGAGAAGTCATGGCGTTTCCCAATTTACAGATGTATAGACTGTGAAAGATATTGCTGCCTAGTGTAGAAACCCAGATTAACTACCAACCCACCAAAATAAAAATAAAAATATCCCGGTTATAGTTTATCTTAGTCCAGAATATTTCCCCCAGGGTATGGTTGAAGATATAAAACAGTTAAACACTCTTTTCTTTGTGTATTAGATGTTATATATTATCAATCATCCTACACACTTGTGCAAATTAATTGAAACAAAAAAAAAAATAATTCCATTATTATTTACTTTTTTCGTATTGCTCCAATGAAATTTGACCCAATGCACATGTTAGTACTTCGTATGTCCATTACACAAGGTCTTTCCTCACAAACTAACCATAGATTCACGATTGGATTTAAATCAGGAGAATTTCCAAGCCAGTCGATAGTACTTTGATTTGCTCACTAGTAAGGCTTGCCATTGTATTCGAGCAGCGTTACAATTTTCGTACGCTTCCTTAGAGTAACGCAGACAATGGGCGTAGGACAACTAATCGACAGTCGAGACAATAGTGTCTGGGTCTGATGAAAATCTGATGCAATCATGGATGACGCAGTATTTTTCAAGGTCAAACAGATTTCATCATACACCCCGAAAATAGACTAATATTACTGCACAGCACTGCAAATGACCTAATCTGAAAAAAAAAAAAAAAATAGAAATCGATTACACCCTGTCACTACAGTGGGTCTAAAACTGATTGTATGGTGAAAGAAAGGAAACTAAAGTATTTGTCTCAATTAATTTGCACAAGGGTTGGCTATGCATTGAATAACAAATTCTGGGTGACGCGTTTCGGCCTTTCGAAGGACTTCATCAGACTATGGTAATGTTTTTATTGATGGAATGATATACGCAGGAGGAGAAGGGGGATATATAAATGTGATCTTTTGTTATAATTATGTACCGAGAGGAAACGCTGAAGGTGTGAAAACACTGAATTTGAAATTTTTTAATTTTATATTTGGGAGTTAAATTTTTTTTTTATCAGACGCATCTGGACAGAACACAGTTCAGTCGATTTCGTTCACTTTCCCTACGTCTGATAAAAGGAAAGGTTAAAAAGTTAGAAATTTTTAAACTAAAAGAATCGACAGAGCATATGAGCAGCGATGGCATTTTAAGGAAAATGAAAGCAATAATGTAGTATCAGGAAGTGACCATGTTGAAATTTCTGGGAAACATAATTTGGAAAGGTAGCTTGGAGAATTTGACACTTACAGAACGGGCTGAAGACAACAGGGAAACAGGGAAAGAGATTTTAACGTAGGTAACTTTCTTCTGTACACGGATGGTAGAACATAAACAAATTGAGACATTACTTAAGACTAATATTAGGTTGGTGCAAAAATAATGACGTAATAATGTCGTTTTTGACGTATTTTGAACGTCAAAAAACGACATTATTACGTCATTATTTTTGCACCAACCTAATAATTCGTGAAATACCATGATCGCCCACGTCCTGAGAGGGTGCGGCACACAAAAGAAGAGGGTTTAGAATAGCCAACCTCGGAGTAAAAATTCGTCTAGTCTAAAACAGGAGTTGGCAACCTTTTGCTAACTATGTACCGACTTAGAGTTTGAAAATCATTCAGTGTGCCGACATCATAGGTATTTTTATACAAGTCAAGGTCAATATACCTGTTCAACAATATATTTTATATAGTAATATATAGTATATATATACTTTCAGTCAGTTATGTGCTATGCGTGATACACGCTTAGGCGATCATGTATCTTTCGATACATGACTAACAAGGCAGATTTTTTTCCTTCAGTAGGTTGCCATTTATTTCTGCGGTAGACCAGTTGACTTTTTTATGGTTACCGATGTACACATTAGTTTTTGCAGGTGATAGGAATTTCAAACTGAAATCTTTATTTCAGGGGTCGGCAATCTTTTGCTATGTACCGACTTAGGGTTTTAAAATCATTCACTGTGCCAACAGCATACGTATTTTTTATACAAGTCAAGGTCAGTTATATTGACCTTGACTTGCTCAATATACCTGTTCTACAAAATATTTTATATAGTAATATATAGTATATATACTTTCAGTCAGTTATGTGCCATGCGTGATACACGCTAAGGCGATCATGTATTTTTCGATACGAGGCAGATTTTTTTTCCCGCAGAAGGTTGCCATTTCTTTCTGCGGTTTGACTAGTTAACTTTCTTATGCTTACCGATGTACACATTAGTCTTTTGCAGGTGATTGAAATTTCAAGGTGTCGGCAATCTTTTGCTATATGCCGACTTAGGGTTTTAAAATCATTCAGTGTGCCAACAGCATAAGTATTTTTATACAAGTCAAGGTCAATATACCTGTTCTACAATATATTTTATATAGTAATATATAGTATATATACTTTCATTCAGTTATGTGCTATGCGCGATACAAGCTTAGGCGATCTTAGTATATAATATATATGCTTTAGTATATATTAAAATTAAAACAGCTACATGTCTTCTTTGCGTTGTAGTAGTTATTGGTTCGGACTTCGTGATGTCCTTTGCGCCTGCGTGCCAGTGGAAATCGCTTGACTTATCACGTGTAACACTGGTCTAAACTATACAACCCTATGCCTGTTTATACCCATTTTTACTATTAATATCAAAAGCTGTTTTTCTTATACGGACTCGTATGCGGTGGCTACAATAAAGGAAGTTGTGGTGAGCTATTCCCATTGTTTATGTCAGAAGAAACATTTTTTTCAAATACGAGATTTCGTAAATTTCCGAGGTGAATTTTGTTGATCATAGCATATAAACATTAATGTAAAACACTAGTTACAGTGTTCGGACTCTTGTCCTCATATTTATTGTCATATTTACAACGGGCCTTGAGCACCTCGGCGTGGTGTAATGGTTAGCAGGCTTGTCTCGTTAGATCAATTACGACTGAAAAGTGAGTTCGTTTCTCACTAGGTGTCCCATACATTCGGCCTTGTGCCACATCTAAGCTACGCTTAGAAAATAACTATTTACAGTGGGTGAAGGCTTTGGTTGAAATAATCCAGAAATTTGAACCAAAGAGTTATGAGTTCAATACCTGGCCAGAGCATTGGAGAACAAAAACTTGGCGAATTGAGTTGCTAAAGGAAAATAACTGAAACTAAGATATCCAGAAAAGGCATGGCATGTAGAACTAGAACAATCTACCCCAGTAGACGAAATAAAGGGTATAGTGGGTCAGCCAATTTGTATTGGTTATAAATAGAAATAAAAACTGACCCTCTACAATTTTTACAATATCAAATGTAAAAAAGACAACAACAAGAGAAATAATCAAGTAGAAGAAAATGTGAATTTGTTCAACAATATATATTTTTTTATAAACACAACAAATACATAATATATAGTGCAAAAGTTGATAAACACAGTTCTTTGGTGTGTGTGTTACTGAAAGAATTTGAGCTACTGTACTGTATGTGTGAAAATGACAAGGTTTAGTTAGCTATATTTGTTTTTATAGGAAAATTAAACAGATGTTTTTTTTTTTGTGTATTAAATAGAAAAAAAGTATTGTTCTTGACTCACTGATTGTTATCGCTCATTAACCAGAGATTCTTGTGGAATGGAATATTTTGTGGGAGTGAGCGTTAAGCCTGGAGATGTTTGACAAAGTTTGTTGTTGTATTGAAGATAAAGTTCGTCTCCTTTACTGTGTTGATTTCCAATGAAGTCAAGTGAATTGGTTTCAATATCTTAAGTGCCCACTGACCAAGTCGCGTCGAAGTTTCATTTTTATTAGTTCTCTTGGTCACGTGGGGAGGCTCGTAAACATGTTTACATTTTATGGCGTCAACTAGAGGTCAAAATTTGGGTCGGTACCTTCGGACGTAGTTGACGACACCTAATTAATATTTTACTTCCAATCAAAATACAGTTGTTATATTTGGCTGGGAGCCTCTATGTGTTTAACTTGCACAAAATTTAAGATTTAAAAAAATGTAGGAATCTGATTCTACAAAGATTCAGAGGGAAATTCCAACGTATATATCACCCGAAGAAGGCCGAAGCGTACAACGGCCGTAACCATCTTGAATACAACAATAAAGATGATGACAGCAGTCTGAAAAGTGTAAATAGTTACAATACCTCAGATACTATAGACAGATATTAATGTATAAGTATTAAAAAAAAAAAAAAGAATATGTAGTCTCTGTCGTATTGCATAGCAAATCTGCTTTTTTCCTTTCCAAGTTTTAAGCAACGCCTTTTTACTCATTACTTTCCATCATGTTTTTAACCCCCTTTCCGTAGATATTATTTAGTCAAAAAATATTATTGAGTCAAAAAGCAAAAAAAAAAGCACGTGGTGTTGTTACCATTTAATAGTTACTTTATAAGTAAAATACGGCGCCAGAAAATTATATGGCACCAGAAAATTATAGGCCAGGCTTTAAAGCTTTTGTTACAGTTTTAAACTGAATATCGACAGTTATAAATAATTATATAGTTTAATAGGCTCTGGGAAAGATACGTATGTCCGAATTCAAACAGAAATCGTAAACATGATGATGAGAATGCACAGTTAAAATCACTGTTGGAGAGGAAATAAAACAAATGAAAACATTATATCCTTGTATAATTAATTTTAATTTGAAAGCTTTCGATAAGACTTCACATTCACTTTGATGACTTGGCTGTGTCGGTGATGTCAATATTTATATTGAAATCAAAGATCAGATTTTAAAATAATTTTAAAATTGTCATAAATATTAGACAGATAAACAACAATATGCTATCAATAGAAGCTTAGGATTTATAAATATTATTTAAAAAAATAACTTTCGCGTTTCGTTCTCTGCAGGTATTTACATTGATAAAGTCCGTCAACAGACGAAATGCATCGGCTAAGAAAAGTTTTCCTTTTGTCTTTATTCATATATTTTTTCGCAGATATATTGTATCTGAAATTTTTACACATTTATATCTAAGGTGAGTGAAAAGTAAGTGTATTTTATGTATGAGTGGCCAGCCAGGAGTCCTAACTTAATTCACTGTGACTGTTTTCTTTAGGGTTGGTTAAAAGAGCAACTCTACTATAACAAACCAATACTTTGGGTGAATACAATAATCTGTCTTCCATACCACAAGAGTTCTTGGTGAAGTCAGTTGACGCGATTCTCAGTACGCTTGAGTAACTGGCAAGTAAATCAGGTGCCCGTATCGAATTTTAAATATATATATATTTATGTCTGTGTTCGTTTGTGTGTGTGTTCGTGTTTGTGTGTGTGTGCATTTGGTATATGTATACATATTCGGGTTTGTAACATATATATCTCTATATATGTATCTATGACATGTTTTGTACATGGATGTGTCCACTATATAAGTATATCTATCTATCTATCTATCTATCTATCTATCTATCTATCTATCTATCTATCTATCTATCTATCTATCCGAAGAGGATCTTGTAAAAGATAGAAAGTACTTGGGTTAAAAAAAAATGGCGCCTTCCTTGATGAATTTCATCTTAACATCAAGAAAGTGATTAAACAACAGAAAAGGATCAGTATAAAAATAGGTAGACACAATATGTCTATAAATGAAACATGTTTGAATGAAGATATGGTGTTTAAATATATATATATATATATATATATATATATATGTGTGTGTGTGTGTGTGTGTGTGTGTGTGCGTGTCTGTGTGTGTGTGTCAGGTATATGTATACGTGTGAGGGTGTGTCACTTATATATCTATATATGTATCCGTTCACACACACACACACACACACATATATATATATATATATATATATATATATATTTATGTGTAGGTATTGCCCGCGCGTGCATGTGTCTGGTGTATGTATACGTGTGAGGGTGTGTCATCTTATATATCTATATATGTATCTATAATATTTATATATATATATATATATATATATATATATATATATATATATATATATATATATATATGTGTGTGTGTGTGTGTGTGTGTCTGCGAGTGTGTGTATGTGTGTCTGAGCGTGTTTGTGTGTCTGTTTGGTATATGTATACGCGTGAGGGTGTTTCACGTACATATCTATATCTCTCGCTCTGTATATATATATATATATCTCTATATATATATATATATATATATATATATGTATGTGTGTGTGTGTGTGTGTGTGTGTGTGTGTGTGCATGTGTATATATTGAATAATCGTTTCGACAAGAGACGACAACAGCTGTTTCGGACGGTGACGATGACTCTACTGTCGAAAGAGTTTTGCTGTTCTTCTCTTCTGAAAGAACGTAAGAGTTCCGTATCCCATTACCGAATTCTGATGAGTCATTTAAAGGGATATGAAAAACAACAACAACAACAAAATAAATAAAAGTATTAGAGAAAAAATTCAACTGGGATACGGGCAGGTCGAGGATGGCGTTGATGGTGGTGGTATTGATGGTGTTGGTGGAGGATGGCGGCAAGAAGCACCTGTTCAATTGAACACTGTATAAATCCATCCGGGTGGATGATGCTGGAAAGCACCCCACTGTTTCTTATTAAATCTATTATTTCTTTTCTTTCATTCATTTCGTTTCAATTATTCAGCGAATTTTCTTACTTGACGTTAGAAGAGCAGGAAATTAACTCTTAAAATCTGTCAGGCACACATGCACATACTTAAATGCAAGTACAATTATGTACATATATATACATACATATATATATATATATATATATATATATATATATATATATATATATATATATATATATATATATATATATATATATATATATGTATATATATATATATATATATATATATATATGTATATATATACATATATATGTATATGTATATATACGTATATATATATATATATACGTATGTATATATAGTCACTAATATATATATATATATATATATATATATATATATATATATATATATATATATACACGTATATTATGTCCTTTCTGCAATAGATAAGTAATTATATTTAATCATATATATATGTGTATGTGTGTATGTGTTTGTGTATGTTTATGTGTGTGTGTGTTTGTGTGTGTGTATGTTTATGTGTGTGTGTGTGTTTGTAAAGTTGGATGAGTGTCCGATGGAATCGGAATTATATCAGACAGTTTTGTAAACTTCTGTTTTGACATGTTTCGAAAATGAACGAACCTCACCAGAAGAAAAAAATAAAGATTTTCTTTTAGAAGGACAAGAATCTACAGTAAATGAAAGCGTGATTCACGTAAATCGGCTGAATGACTAAACTTTCAACTCAATTTTTCTTTCTTTTTCTTTCTTTATTTTTTAATCAGTTCACTCCAATCAGGGCGACAGTTTCCCTAAGACGCCATGGGCTACCGGGAGTGAAAGAGAATGAGAAAACTTTAGAAGGAAGTGAAAACCAAATCATAAACAAGAAACAAGTGATAAATCTATACTGCAGTTCAGACCGACGAGGAGTGTGAAATAAACGACGGGCGAAAAAAAACAAAAAAAACCAACAAAACCCCCCCCAAAAACAGTAAAAATAAATCAGTGTTTAGGCAAAGAGGTTAGAAGTATAGAGTTAAAGTAGATCTTTCAAGGAACCGGAAACCCAGTCCTAAACAGAAAAAAAGAGATAAAATTCTACTCCTGTTTAAAAGACTGTGGAGGAGAGTGAACCGGAATTTATTTATTTTAATATTTCCGTATTTCAACTGAGTTGATTAAAATAACATTAAACTCGTGTGGAATGCCTACCCCCCCCCAAAAACAAAAAAAAAAAAAATTCAAGATTAACAGGAAAATAAATTTGCTAAAATATCAGTCTATTCTTTCGAGAAGATCTTTTACTCTTTGCTTGTTAGTTTACTCTTTGCTTGTGGTTTATCTTCCAATAAGACAACAACCTGAAACATATTTTGTAAATCGTTTCTGAATGGTGCGTGAAAAATAATATAATTTAATGGTTTAAGGGAAATAAGCTTAAGATAATGGATTTTTTTAATCACTTCAAGGCAGTAAAGCCGCTAAGACGCAAGGGGATTACTGAATGTTAGAGAACATGAAACAAATATACTATTAATGAGAGAGGACAATAAAAGAACATAAATTAATAAAATAATCATTGACATTGCAATTAATTTTTGATTCGGTGATTTAAGGTTTAATTAATCTAATTTGCAACAAATAATACCTAATTTTAGTTTTGTATATACACGGTACCTATGAACACTAATGAGTATATCCCAATTTTCATAAATGTTGGACACTATTGTAAGTGGGGTTAAGATGCTGCCTAAGTAGTCTACCACGAGCAGTGGTTTACCTATTACACGCCGCTGACGAGTATTGTATTTTGTTGATGTTATAAAGATTAGCATTTCATTTCCAATCTCCGTTTTGGTTATTACTCATACAGTAACCCTTCCTGGGTTACAACAAGTTTTAAATATCGCATTTTGTAACATAGAGTTGTTGTTTTACTGGAAAGCAAAGTAGCCAGAAGAGAGTTCCACAATCAAGTGAAGAAACTGTTAGCATAGAAGTTACGGTTGCATCTAGCCATTTCAAATGCAAAATGATGAGATTTGGCCGCTAATCTAGTATTGTGCTCAAATTCATAAAGTCTAGGTACCATAGAGGAAAGTTCATCAGCAGAGAAAGAATTACTTTCTCAATCGCCGAATTAAACATTTGTGGCAAGAATTGAAACCTGCTGTTCATAATCGTACGCCAAACAAATTGAACGATTTTGGAACGATTCCTCATGGAATTGTTATACTGGAACACATCTATTCTGTAGTTAATAGACTCTCCCACCTATAATAATTAGGAGTAGGAGTAGCAGTAGCAGTCGCTCAGTAAGTTGGTTAGTCAGTTGGTTAGTCGGATATTAAAGTATCAGCCACCACAACTAGATTACTGCGTCATTACATATTATATCAAGTTCCTAACGTTTTGTACGTCGAACCTATTTTAGGACCGACTTAGTACAAATACAAGCCTCCACTGTGAAACCACTACATAACAGGAATAATGAACGAAAATATCAGTCGAAAGATTGAGAAAACATTATCAAAAGACTTTAGAAAACGTCTATTAGCAGTGATTGGTACCGAAGTTTTCTCAACTAAGCGTGTAGCATACTAATACAAAAGTCAGAATAATAATCTACTGGTCATCATAAAATTAAAATAATCATATCAATTTTCCTTTCATATATTAATCTGGTTTAGTAACGATGAATTGAGTAAATAAATGACATCAAATTCAGAATAATTAATAATCTTAGGGTTGAATTTTTTTTTCCGTACTACTTCTGTATATTGCTTGGCAATGGCCTGAATCGATCCTTACTTTTCACCCCGCCTCAACTCCTGGTCAAATACCGTAACGTGAGGTACAATAAACCCGCCCATCACAACGAAACTTAGGTAGAGCGACTTACTGAAACGTGCCATCCTGGATAGGCACCTGGCCGCTAGATGTTAAAGGAGATATCAAAAGCGTGCATTTGGATATATGCAACACCTTACTAACCTAAACAATCCACCTATACAAATGAAGATAGGGAAAAGGAACAATCTTCGTTACTGTCGTATAAATAAATAAAAAAAATCCCTTTACGTTAGGATAAGAAACTGAGGAGATATGTCTATTTCGAGAGTCAGAGAAAAATCTGCGTTCAAAGGCACTATTCAGCTTTGATTGGTCATCGACATACTCCGTAGTCAAGAGATCTAAATTACGTCATTTCCAATTACGGTTTCCACTAAGGGAACGCAGGTTCGAGTCCTGCCAGAGAACGCATATTTTTCTTTAATGGGATTTCCCGAATATTCAGGCTGGTAAACGAAAATGAATATACTGTTTAATATATAAGCGGATCATTAACTCAAATATAAGTATCGACTAAAAAACGTATATATATATATATATATATATATATATATATATATATATATATATATATATATATATAGTTGGATCAGGGCTACAGGAATGTAGGAAGCCCATGGCTAAGATACAAAGACAAGCTGAAAAGCAACTTGTCAGCAGTCAATATACAACATAACACCCTTGAGCGCTTAGCTTTGGAGCGGGTAGAATGGAGATCAACGTGTTTTAGTGGACTCAGCAATCTTCAATCTGTTGTCTGAATCGTCTTCAAGAAGCCAGAGCAAGATCTAAAAGGTCAATCGATCTAACAGTGATCTCATTTCACAATCCTCACACTTGCTTCAAATTGGCTTCCTTTGTAAATCACTAGCGGGTCTTAAATGCCACATAAAATTATCGCACAAACTTTCATAACTGAATTAATAAGCTGTCAGATCCTCATACGTCGAAACCGACGAGAGAGTCCATTGTATATATATATATATATATATATATATATATATGCGTAAACATTATATATATATATATATATATATATATATATATATTGCAGGCTATTTAAAGCCAGAAAAGATT